AAGGAAGGAAGGAAGGAAGGAAGGAAGGAAGGAAGGAAGGAAGGAAGAAAGGAAGGAAGAAAGGAAGGAAGAAAGGAAGAAAGGAAGAAGAAGAGAGAGAAGGAAGGAGAAGAGAGAGAAGGAAGGAAGGAGAGAGAGAAGGAAGGAAAGGAGGGAGGGAGAAAGGAAAGGAGGGAGGGAGAAAGGAAAGGAAGGAAAGAAGGGAAAGAAAGAAGTGTTGTCATTGAAGTGGTTTTTTTTATGCACTGAAGAGAAGGAAGACCAGAAAGAAACACAGAAAAGCAGAATAGCTTTGAAAGTTACATGTTGAATTTATTATATACTCAAAAAGTAAAAGTAAGCCTTAATAATAGGGCTTTAAAGTTTCATGTACAATCCTTTTTTTTCCACTTTGTATATGGGAATACTTATTTTATTCACAATTAAATTCAGAAAAAAACCCAGATTTATGTTATCAATATCAATAAAAATATTAATAACAATAAAAATTTATCTGAGAAAAATGGTCATCTTTTACGCTGATGAAATGCTTCTAATTCTTCAATAAAGAGCATTGTTATATGTGATTCCTTCATTCACACATAACACCCTTCAATACATAGGAACTGCTGTTCATGAGGCACTGTGGTAGGAATTGAAAGGGCTCCAAAGATGACTAACCATAAAATGTCATAACTGGAAAGGGCCTTAGAGCCCGATTGATGCAATGGATTCATTTTACAAGTAAAGGAAGAATGAATGAGGAAACTTGGGGCAGGTATTTTTGTGTACTTTGCTTGTTACCACCACCACCCTTAGCAGCTAGCACAGTGGCTGGGGTATGTTTAATCATTCAAAAAGTATTTCCGGAGCAACTACTCTTGAATGGAATCTACATTTCTAATCTGTTATTTAATACACAATTTGTATGTATGTGTGACATCTACAAAGAGTGAGTTTAAAGTAATGAGATTGAACAAGACAGTTGAGGTGGCATTAATGATCTCATGTGTCCCCATCATCACACTGTGAGGTAAGTTGGACCAAAGTCTGAGGCTTGAAGATCAAGGCAGGAAAATATGAAATGTGTGAAGTTGGTGATCACGGGAGATAAGAGTCCCTTTCTCTTGAAGTATTTAGTAAGCTGCCAAACTGATATTCCTAAAACACAGATCTATGTTATTGACCTGCTCAAGAAGTTATACTAGCTTCTAATTACTCCTAGAAAGATCAGTACCATCCCCTTCCCTCTTCCGGTTTAGGCAAGTTCTTTTCTGAAAAGTCAAAAAAGCTGTACCTCAGACTTGACTGACCCAGGATATTAAGTCCTTTCTAGGTCTTAAACATCTAGCTGTTGAAGGCAGATTTCTGGTAGCCTCAAGACATATTTATGTAGCTTCCCATTCACCTAAGTAAATAAAAGATCTGCCTAAATGGAGTTTGGTGCTTTTCACACTTGGGGAATATCGCAAGACTGTTACACTCTGCTACCCCAAATGACTGCACCCTTCTCTGCTGACTGAACATGTTTCAATTTGAGAGAAGTGGATACCTAAGCTGAGTTTTGTATCCTGTCTATGCTATGTCTAAGTATTACTCCTTTTGTTGACTTGTAGAAATTACAATCAAACATTAGACCTAAACTACCAGGGCACTAGCCTGAATCAGGTTCAATTCACCACAGGCCCTGGTCAAAATCAAGGAATACCTTATCCCAGGTTGGAATAATAATACCATTAGATATAAACATTGCATTTTAAGATTTACAAAATACTTTCCTCACCGCCTTGTGAAGAAGGGAGCACAAGTATTATTACCTTCATTTTTACAGATAAGGAAACTGAGGCTCAAAGAGATTAAATCAGCTTCCTACTCATGTCTCCTGTCTGCAAGTCTCATGCTCTTTCCACTACACAACTGTCCCCACAGCCTGAAATCAAATGAGGAAATATTCCTCTTTGTGAATAAAGTGTGTGGGTTGAGTTGTCAAATTTCTCACTTCATCTTTTGGGTGCTGTTGTCTGGGTGGCTTCTCTTGGAGAGCAGAGATTTGAGCTCTGAGTTGGGAAGCCCTGCTGTACCTTTGCATGGTCATGGACCAGTTCAAGGCAATCCTGCCCCAGGTGAGGGCACTGCTCTCCAGTGCTTGGCCTGCCCAGGTACAGGGCTTTCTAGATGGTCTTCTGGAAAAGGACCTCCTCTCCAAAGAGTACCACCAGGCTCTGCTCCAAGAACCTGATAGAGAAGCACTGGCCAGGAAGGTTTCCTTGTCCCTGTTGGAGAAGTGGGATCTATGCATAGGAACCTTGATCCAGTGTGTGAGATGCTCTGGGCACAAGCTCCAGACTCCAGGGATGGATGGCGTCTCCTCAAGGAGCCGAGGTAATAAGCGGAATATCCTTAGCCTGGGAAACAATAATTGTGTGTAGGTCTGGGCCTTCCCCCTTCTCTCCCTCCTCTTGTTTTCCCTGGAAGGAATAACTTATGGCATTTTACAGGCGGGGAATGTAAGCTCTGCAAAGGAGCAAGGGTCATAGCCTATGGTAAGCAAGGAAGGAGAAGTTTTAACTTCCGTCTTTGATATTGAAAATGGTTTGAGACTTTGGGGAAGGTAGAAGGTGCCTGAAATATAGACCTTCTCCCATGTCTCTCACAAAGGCTTTCTAGAGTTTACTCTAGAGGGAAAATTCTAGAATTGTGCCTTCAAAGTGGATGCTATGTCATCTGATGGCAAGTTGGGGGGGGGAACCCTGCTTCTTGTCCTAGGTATCCCTGAACATCCAAGAGTCTGGTGGAAGGAACAACAGGGACCTTGGAGTATAGTTATGTATTGGACAAGTAGAAGGTTTTGGAGGATGGGAAAAGTTGAACCTCTAGGGTCTGACCTTCTGGGACTTCAAGGGGTTGACCTTCTCTCCACTTCTGCTCAGCTGTCCCCCACCCTCTCCATCTCAAATCTGGTCTCCCTTTTTCTGTGACATGGTTCCTGTCATGTAAGTGGTGTTTCCTCTCTGTGATGTGATCTTGACCTCTTAATCCACACAGCTCTAAAATGTGGAACTAGGTTCAAATGCAGACTTTGGCAAGAGACAGATGGGGGTGTGAGGATGGGGAATGCACATTCCCTGTTCCTGGGCTCACATTCCCAGGATCTCCTTGTTGTGTGCATTAAGCTGATGGTCTAACCAATGAGTTGCCCATTCCATTTGCAAACATCTTTTGGGCACCTACTCTTCACCCAGCCAGTGGGACCTAGCCCAGTCCTAGTTACAGTAGGGGATACAAGAGAAAGAGAAAATATGGTCCCTCCACTTAGAAACTGTTAAATCTTCTCTTCTCCAGATTGTATAATTATAATTCTTTCAACTTTTTTCCTCCCAAAGAAGTCTACTGAGTTCATCCTTCTAAACAATAAGGGTGGGCATAGATGCAGGAGCAAGCAGTGCATCTCCTTCTCCAAAGGTCTTAAGACAAGAGAAATTTTCATATGCCTATGATTGATTAAGTGACACAAGGATTCTATACTCTGTGAAAAAGAATATTCTACCTGCTCTCTTTTTCTGTCTCTCTTCTTCCTCCCTCAGGCCTATGGCACCCCAAACGATGTTGTTCCAATGAGAGAAGAGTCTGTCCCCATAGACACCACCCTGAACAACAATCAGAGCACTGTATTAGAATGCTTTTTCAATCGCTCATTCAATATGGAGCAAAGCTTTTCAAAGTAGGGCCCACAGGCCATTGGTAGGCCATTGGATATTCCAAGCAGTAACAGCAAGCTCTTTGAGAAAATTAATATTTATTCAGAATGGTCAGCTGTTCTGATTATTTCACTACTCTAGGCAACTGAGAGACTATAAAAACATTCTGTATTGATTACTAATTTTTCTAGAATTAGAACATGATAATATATACTTTGTACCTAACTATAGGCTCAGTGTAATGTAATCTTTAATGGTTTGGAAAGCGTTTCAGGATTTGATGTTGCTTTAGAATTGCTTCTAAGGACATCAATTCTCATTGCATAGGACTGCCAAAAAAAAATTTCTTTTTTTTCCTTAATCCCCATCCTCTTTGACCTCTCTGAAGCATTTGGCATAGTTGACCACCCTCTTCTTCTTCATATTCTATCTCTTCCTTTGTCTTCCAAGATACTGCAATCTCTTGTGTGGGCCATCTCCAGTTGTCCTGATCTATATCTTGCCACTGGACCCAGATGGCTCCAGAGGAGAAAGTGAGACTGCTGACCTTGCACAGCCTTCCCTCACTTAAATCCAATTCACTTGCAAGTTATGGCATCACCATCCGATGTCATGGCCCCCTTCAAGAAGGAAGGACAAACAACAACAACAACAACAATCTCTTGGTACTTTTCCTACGTCTTGAGTTGCTGCCTTCTTCACTGTTTTCTCGACTCCATTAAGGCGGATGCTCTCCACTCTCTCCTCTTTCCTTATCTTCTCTCCTTTTATCTTCCTGAAGGAGGATGAGGCACCAGCCAAGCAGACCAAGAAGAAGCAGGAGAGTGTAGTGTCTTGAAAATTGAGGGTAGAGAGCATACACAGTAGGAATAGAGGTCAACAATGTCAAAAGTTATAAAAAGTTCAAGAAGGATTAGAACTGAAAAGAGGGGGATTGGATTTGGGGGTGATTAGAAAATTATGCATGACTTTCAGCACATTGGTGGTGTCTACATCCAGTTCAACAAGGGGTTGAAGAAAGAATAGATAGAATGATTAAGGTGGATGCTCCCCACTCTCTCCTCTTTCCTTCTGATCATGGAAGACAAGGTTTTCTACTGTCTGCTTCAACCTGTGTTCTTGATACCATCCCCTGACACCTCCTCCAGGAACTTGTTCTATTAGTTATATCCTCTTTCTAATCCTCAAACTCTCTTTTTCCCCTAGCTCTTACATTTACCTATGAATATTCTCAGGTCTCTCCGACCAACAAAAACTTGGGAGAAGGAAAATATGTCTGTCTTTTGCATCCACTTCATTTCTATCCATTCTCTCTTCAATCCCTTATTGAACTGGATGCAGCCACCACCAATGTGCTGAAAGTCAAGAATAACTTTCTAATCAACCCTCAAACCCAAACACCCTTTTTTTCCAGTTCTAACCCTCCTTGAACTTTCTATAGCTTTTGATACTGTGGACTTCTTTTCCTACTGTGTATACTGTCTGGCCTCAACTTCCAAGACTCTACATTCTCCTGCTTCTTCTTGGTCTTCTTTGCCAGTGCCTTATCCTCCTTCCAGTCCCTTATTATGTGTGTTTCTTAAAGGTTTGTCCTTGACTCTCTTCTCTTCTTCCATTACAATCTCTGGACAATTTCATTCATTCCCACAGCTTCAACTACTACCTTACACTGATGCCTCCTAAATCTATATTTTTAGCCCTGAACTCTACTCTGAGCTCCAGACTGACATCTACAGCTGCCCACAGGACCTCTTTACTTGGATGTCCCACAAATATCTGAAAAAACTTGTTGTCTTCCTTATGCATGCTTTCAAATTTTGTTGACTGGGCACAATCTCCATCTTCAGCAGCATCATTCAGCTTCTCTTCCACATTTCTAGCATTGTAGTTATCAATGACCCCTCCCTGTTGCCTCTACGTAAGCAGTAAACAAATTCTGTCTATCCAACTCCTACAACATCTCTCCCAAATGTTCCTGATTCTCCATTTCCACTGCCTCTACTCTAGTCCAGGCCCTCCTTACCACCTGCCTGGCTTATCACAAAAGCCATCCAAATAGGTCTTTCTACATCTATTATCTCTCCTCCTATCCATAATTCATCTTATGGCTAGAATGATATTTTATGTATAGTTTGGATCATGTTACTTCTCTTCTCAAAAATCTTCATTGGCTCCTTATTAATTCATAAGTTCAAAATCTTTTTCCTGTCATTTAAAGCAAACTGTTGCCTCCACAAACTGGTGCCACTTTGCTCTGTTAACATTTTTTAATTAATATTATTCCTCTCTACACATTCCATACTCCAGTTAAATTGGATTATACTTTCCCTCCTAAACTATGTCCTGTGCCCTCAATTTCTATACCTTTGCTCACTGTTGCTTGCAATGGAAGGTCCTTCCTTTGACTTTCAATTCTTGTTCTATTCTTTAAAGTTCAATTCAAATGGTATCTCCTCCTTCATATAGCTTTACCTGACCTCCCTGATCAATAATCTTCCCCCTCAGATTTCAGAGACTCCTTTATTTCTCACTTCTCTAACGCATTTATTATGTTGTGCTTCGTAGTTATCTTTTTACAACTTCTTACTAGAGTATAAGTTTCATGAGGGCAGGAATCACATCTTATATAAATCATGTGGTATCCTCAGTAACTAGCACAGTGATGTGTGGTAGGCATTTAAGACAACTGAGTCTCAATTAGCACAAATAATGAATACCATAGAGTGGTCACAGTATTTGATTTTGACTAATCATGGTTTTAATTATATCTAAGATATGCAGATTGGTTCCAACTCAATTTAAATATGTAATGAAAATTTTTAAAAATTAATTTTTAATTTTTAAAAATAAATTATTTATTAATTCAATATAACAGCAAAGGATAAGAAAAATGTATTTCTGATTCAAGGGTATTACAAAGTAATATAGTAATTATAGAAAATAAAATTTTAAAAAAATTAAAAACTACTGAATATTGTACCTAACAATAGGCCTACATTGACAATATGATAAAAATTATTACCATTTAAAATATTTTAATAGCACAGACTGAATTGTCTTCTCTTTCTTAAATCTTCATACACGAGATGGTAGGTATATAGAGTTTTATCCACATCTCGATGAATTTGCATGTTCACATTCTCATACAATGAATCAAATATAGCTGGATGAACTAGGGCATTATCTAAAATCAGTAATGCTTTAACTTCAATATTGTTGTCTTTGCAATATTTTTTCAATAGCTGGACTAAAATAATTTTAAAATAAGACTTGAAATTCAACTTTAGTGACTGATGCTTTCTTATTTAACTGCCAAGGAACAAGAAACAAGTGATGGTTATAGCCTCTCAGAGCATGAGGATTTCCAGACCAATAAACAAGCACTAATTTTCATCTTACATCCTCTTTGGCAAAAAAAAACCCCAATGAAAGCTTCTGGTCATCCTTAGACACTTTAAATGCAAGTTGAAATTTTTTTCTTTCTCAGGAATATAAGTTCTAGAAGGCATCTTTTTCCAGAATAAGCCTTTATTCTACATCAAAAATATATTGATCAGCTGGCCTCAGACACTTGACACTAACTCCTTGTGTGATCCTGGGCAAGTCACTTAACCCCAATTGTCTCACCAAAAAGCAAAATACATATACATATACATATACATATATATAACATATATATATAAC